GATCTCTATAGGGTTAAACAGTGGTGCGATTCAAACTCTTTATGTTTCAACACAAATAAAACAAACATACTTTGCTTCAAACTCAATTTTGACGACAAACTTATAGAAAATCAGGCTATAGTTAACAAAACTCATACAAAATTTTTAGGGGTATTTATGGATGATAAATTAAAATTTGATGAGCATATAACAAATTTATGCAAAAAATAGCATCTGGCTGCTATGTAGTTGGAGGTGTTTCTAACGAACTCAATCAATCCTCAGCCAGAATTGTGTATTTTTCCTTGGTAGAGTCGCATTTGAGATATGGAATTGCCATTTGGGGCTTTTGTAGTCAGCAACTACTAAATTCAGTATTCATTCTACAAAAAATGGCTGTCAGATATATACAAGGACGGATCCAGAGGGAAGGCGGAGGGGGCGATCGCCCCCCCCCCCGAGACATCGCTCGTTCAACACCCAACATACCCTAAAATAATTAATTAATTTGTCGTATCTTGAGTTTCGTAGACAGGTAAACAGGTATAAAACCGTATGCGTAAAGCCACACCCTCATCCCTCCTCCACCAACACCATCCTATTTAGTGTTGAAATAGAATCATTAGTGGTTAGTGGACTTTTAGCATTGATTGTGTTCGGTGTGACGAATTTACATTTTTTTAATATTTTGAATGCAGATGTTTTGGATTTTTCTAATTGAATTGCATCTATAGTATTGGATTTTGACTTCGCCTTCGCTTCCGTTATACTGATTTATCGTTTTTTGTGGATTGTGAATTACCTAGTTTTTTGGGAGAAAACGAAACAAACAAATTTGATGGACTTCATCATCACTAAACGCAGTAAACCGAATGATTCTTTATCCACTTTGGGTAAGTAAAACAATAAACAATTAACTAGTAGTGCACTTTCTATTTGACATACAACGAGCGAGTTTGAACCCTGAATTGGGTAAGCGGGTACATATCAAAATAGGCATACAAATAGCATGTGCGTAGGGTGGGCTGATGCAGTTATTTTTATATAGTTTGCCTTTCTTTTGCAGATAAGAACGTGGACAGTGTTTCGCCTGGTGATCAAAAAAAACAGAGGACGAGCTACGACTGCAACAGCCTTCTACCAGTACTAGTATTGGCAACCAGAGCGACATCTGCGACATCGATGAAATTGAAAATGACGTAGGGCCATATTCCGACAAAATAGAAAAGGGAAAGTCAACCAAAAGGTATTTATCGAAGAAATACTTGGAACAATTTCCATAGGTCATCTACTCACCGACAGGAAGAGGATTGTTCTGCAAGTTTTGCGCAATCTCTAGTGGCGAGACAGCTGGTCATAATAAGGGATCCACATTAGGACTTTTAGTTAAAACACCGCTTAGAAAATTTAACAAATTGACAGGAAAAGACGGCTATTTGAGTGGGCACCAGAACCTGAAATATCATAAAGAGTGTCAAGAAATTACCTCCCAATTTCTTTACCATCATCATAACCCGCAGGATGACGTCATTAATAAGTTGGAAACTACAAGGACCCAGCAAATTCAGGAAAACAGAGAAAGAATACTTCCAATTATTAAATCCATAATACGGCTTGGAAGGCAAGGTCAAGCTCTTCGAGGAAGACGTGACGATGGCCCTATCGATCTAAGGGACGATAAAGATGAGGAAACTTCAGGGAACTGTTAAAGTTTAGGGTGGAAGCAGGAGACAAGATACTGGAAAAACATCTGCGAACCGCATCGTGCCGAGCAACCTACATTAGTAAAACAACTCAAAATATTATAATTATATAACTGTGGGGAAGCTATTGTGCAAAAAATTGTTCATCGTATTAATCAGTCTAAATATTTTGCTATAATTTTCGATGAAACAACAGACATATCCAAAATAGAACAAATGAGCCTTAATTTGCGATACTTTTATAATGGAAATATCAGGGAAGATTTTATAAGGTTCATCGACTGTTATGAAGAAGTTTCTAACCATGATAAAAGTAACGATAGTAAGGAACTACGATTAACTGGACAGCGACTTGGCGAAATCGTAAGGAGAGCTATCTTCTCCATGGGACTTGACATAATGAATTGTGTGGGAATAGGAACTGACACCGCCAGCGTGATGATATCTGACCTAATGGGCGCCGTTTCGGAAGTTTTGACAGCAGCAAAATGCGGACTTCGAACTCCTTGCTTCAACCATGCTTTAAATTTGTCAATTTCGCAATCATCCAATATCAGTTCTATAAGGAACACAGTGGGAGTAATGAAATCTGTCATCAATCTGCAAAAAGGCACAGGGAGCTGAATGTACCACTTACTAGTTTGTGTGAAACACGTTGGGTGGAGGAAGACAAGTACATCGTTCAAACCATCCGAATACCACGCCCAATGAGTATTATAAGACCACAATATTCTACCGGCTTTATGATGAAGTTTTAGCAGATATCTTGGAAAGGTTTTCGGACGAATCATTAAATTGCTTCGATTTGCAGCTACTTTTGCCAGATATGATAGTTACTGTGGATGGAGATGCCGTAAATAAAAGAATAGAGACTTTGGTATTACGATTTTCCCCTATACTTTCCAATTCCGCTACTAGTTGGGAGGGAGAACTATTAATGTGGAGAATGAAATGGGTGAAAATAAAGAAAGCGGTTCGACCAAAAACCATCTGGGATGTTTTACCGCACACAACACTATTTCCGACTATTCAGTGCTTGCTACAGATACTTCTCACTCTTTCCGTGTCTGTAGCAAGCGCTGAAAGGACGTTTTCGTGCATGAAGAGAACCAAAACGTGGCTACGAAGCCGGATGAGTGAAGACCGATTAAATGGCCTTTGTTTATTGAATATGCATCGAAATCTAACACCAACTCCTGAAGAAGTCCTCAACATATTTGGAAAAAATCGTCACAGAATTAATTTTATAATACAAATTGAAATATCAAAATAGTTTGCTGCGCCCCCTCCCCCCTCCCCCGAGAAAAACTTCTGGATCCGTCCATGGATACATATGTAGGGCAAAATCACAAGACCACTGCAAACCACTTTTCATCAGTCAGAAAATTCTAACTGTACCTTGTTTATTCCTGTTAGAAACCGTTTGGTTAATTCACAATAAATACTCCAACTCAGCAGTAAATAATGACAGACGTTACCACACGAGAGGAAGTCGGAATTTACCCTTGCCAATCCCAAAATCGATAATTACAATATTTTCTTTGATATATGAGAGTAATGTAATTATTTATTTATTTATTATCTGTAATGGTTTATATATTGTTTTATTTGTGTATTCGTATATGTACATTTTTTAAACTTATAATGATTGTTCATTGTTTATCATAATTTTAATATTTTTTTTTTAACTTTAACATTGTTGACTTCATAAAGTTTCACTAGCTTTGTCAATAAAGATTTCTTGGACAATAAAGCATGATTGATTGATTGATTGACTTGTGTCTGACTCTCAATACAGTTCACGTAATCAATATTGGACATTTTCAAAATACATTATTACTGACTATTTTCCTAAAGTGCTAAGTAAATACAAACTGTTTCTGTTATCTTTTTGTCATATTTTGTTACATATACATATATTCAGTACAAGAGAATTAAGTTTATCTTGACCCATGCTTGCACAAAAATGGGTTTTTACATTTTCAAAGTAGAAAATGATCTTTCTCCTGAACAATTTGTAGTCGAAATACTCAAAGAAAATACGTAAAGCAACGTCCACATTTGAGTAAACTCGAAGACTCCGTGAATGTAATACATTGCATTGATGGATGTAGCCGTTACTACGTGTTAAGATATCATCATGAAAAATAAGAAATAAAAACTTTCTTTTGCACCGCCTCTGGGAGCTTCGTTTACCATTCATGTTTCGTGTCGTTTGTCGATCCCATAGGTGACGCCTGCATGAGGAAAGATGTCCACGCTTATTTATACTCAGGCTACTCCGTTAAGGATAGTTGAGTAGAACAATGCATTCGTTTTAGCCTAACCCCAATGTGAAACCTGTGGCAGATCGAAAGAGCACTGTCTGATATAGGATCACGAATTTCGTTTTTGGGCTCTGGTTTCAACAAGATATGATTAAAAACATATAGTGAGTTGCAAGTACCAGTAGGTGGTAATATACATTGCAGACTTAAATTTTATTTTAACCTCGTTATTATTTATCTTATACATACAAAAAATCATTTGAACAAATACTCAAACCGTTCTCCTTGAACTTCCTGACATTGAAACAGTCTATTTTCGAACTCTTTTATAACATTTCAGAATGTTTCTGGGGTAATGCTGGCACAAGTTACAGTAATTCTGTTTCTAAGTTCCTGTATTATATCCGGTTGCGTAACAAACTTTCTATTTGATATAGCCTCAAATGAAAAAATCGAGATGATCCAACCAATCCCTTACAGGTCTAAAAAAATGTGAGGGCATAAACGTTCGGACATTAACTCATAAAACTATTCTTGTGCCAGAGTTATCTTAATTTATTTCATGTAATATCTTCCATTTCATGCCTCATGAAAATAACGACCGGCCTCGAAGTAAATAAGAATTCTGTTTTTCCCTCTAAAAATATGTCCAGAACATTTTTGGAAATTAGAATGAAATGAAGCAAATTCTCAGTATCAATTGTAACAGCTATCAAGCTGTTACTAGGGTAACACAGTGCGGGTTCTTATCCACATAGTCAATCACAAAAAAATCCCAAATCGAAATATAAACAGAAATACGCCTTTTTGTCAAATACGTTGGTTGTATTAAATCTAAATACGATGCATTTCCGTGAACAATGTCTTCTCTTACACATTACAGACTGTGTAATCTGTGATAACTACTTTTGAAGCTGTTTCAATCTTCATCTGGTTGCACAGTTTAAAAATATGTTTAAAATGTGTTTTTTCCGTTAACCAGCTATCGCACCCCTATAATTTTCCCTAGTCTCCAGATATATCGGAGTTCTCCTATGTTGACAAATTGTTCAACTGTGTACAAAAATCAATGCAGATATTGAAAACTTACCAACTGATTATTAATTTGTTTCGAAAACAGATGTTTGTATTCTTTACATGCTTTGCGATATTCGAGAATATGATTCCAATCCCAATTTTTCCGTTTTCTTCTGATTTCCCCTTCAACTACACAATTGTAAGCAAAATGCCACCATTCCTTATAGTGCCCCATATATTTTGTATGGTTAGGTCTATATTTTCGATAAGGAATGCCTCTCGACATTCGGCCCATAGAATCTGCTAGTGCAATTATATCTTGATACTGAATCTTACTAATACCAACGAATAATTTTTCCATTTGTAAATTGAGGTGAACTTTGGGAATAGAATACGGTACAGAATCACTCGCAGGATTTTGATTCATTCGCAACCTCGCTGACGAATTTATCGGTCCCAAAACTGCAAAAAAAATCAAAAATCACATTATGCTTCATTATGTTGTTGAATATAATAATACAAATATATTTTTGTGAAAACAGATAAGTTTCTCAGACAGGCATCCGATTCAATTGAAACACCAACTTCTCTTAACATTGTTGTACAGTATTCTTAATTTCCTCTTTTTAGTATGAAATGTAATAGTATATAATAAATACTGTACGAGTATAGCATCTGAGATCCGTATGAAATAAATAGTATATTTAAATTTCACATAACAATTTAGGTGGGCGTTCAGACTTTCACTGTCTGAAAAAGTGAAAAAGTGAAAAAGTGTTTACTATGAGTAGAGAAAATATCAGAATATGCTTTACTGCCATAATAGTCTAGTTCACAAGTGCGTTTCAAAATCCGCCTCCGAAAATATGAACACAATGAAGTGGTTTCTTGAATCCGTTATGGAGTTTCATGAAGTATCGGCTGATTCCATTAAATATTTAAAAAAAAAAGATTTTAAAAAGGGAAGAAATTTCAAAAAAAAGTTCTACCTACCGGAAATGTAGGAACAATATTTATAATTTTTCCAGAGGGTTAAAAATACGTCTTAAAACGGGTACTCTAGCTTGCGCAAGACACGCTAACTTGGACCTGACTGAAATTTTAGGCACCTACTGGATAAATGAATGAACAATAATCCGCGGCCAAAAAATTTTTATCATGATTTACTAGTTTATTATGCATTAGTTAATTAATACTTTTTTATACTTAAACAAAATCCTTGATGCAAATTATGATTTAAAAAAATCGTTTCTTGAAAAAAAAATTGTATTGCTTGAAAACGGATTTATTAATTAACAATTTTTGGCTACCACTTGTAAATGATATTGAGGAACTATTTTTTTCTGAATAATAATTTTTCTTGCTGTTTGATAACTGGAAAAAATGTTATTCAAATTTTCATTGCTTGTTTAATAAACAATTTATTAAAAACAATTAAATTTTTTCCATATATTTCTCTCTTTTTCTACCCAATGCAACAAAAACAACCATGTAATTTCTTGAAAAACAAATTTTATGTTATACATCGAATTTTTAAAATTCCGTTCTTCTTCACTTCATCATTCTCACTTGGTTTTTTATGTTTGAACTTAAATTCTGATGAAAAACTCAAGACTTATTCATTCTCTAATAATTAAAGAACCACACACAAACCTTATGGAAAATGGCATTCGGTGAATTCTGCTGATTTTTTGATATGATGAACTTTTCAATTTCCTGATCGAAAGTCTCCTTAGGCACAATGAAAAATAATAGACAGTTTTTGAGAAAAAAATTGCTCACAGTCGGCAAAATGGGGAATTTGGTAGTAAAACGGGGAAATAAGCAGTTTTATTTTCCAACCGTGTTAGAAATTATACGTTAAAAGGTAAGACCTCGTTAGTCCTTAGCTCGCACAAGTTTAGATTTCTGAGGGTTGTCGTTCGTAGGGGTGCGACAGCTGGTTAAAAAATATTTTTATAACATTATGAAAACAACAGATTGTGAGAAAGTTAGTCAATGGATATGGTTATATAGAAGATCATTCAATTGATATACCGTGTGACACATATTCATATGGTACAGCCCCCTTATCTCCTTTGTTTCTCTGGCTATATTTTTAGGAACACTGAATATGCTCACTACACGGCACTTTTTGACATATTTATAAAAACAAATTCAACTTCAAAATGACATCAATTTTTTATTTTCAAATGAAACACCATGTATATTATTACATGATCGGTTAGGGATGATCATGAAAAATCCAATGATATCCGGTTTGATGGTATTATCTATAATGACTACGGAGATATCGCCATTCGTTTTATCCATAAGCTCAATTAGTGGGGGAGAGAGGGGGTGTACCATAAGTCTGTGTCACTTGGTATAGGGGCTCATACATGGAAAATAATGGAAATAAAAAAATGGATATATTGATGAGGTTACAAGTTACAACACTATAAATATGTACGAAGCTGAGACGTACTTTTCAACGTCCTGATCGAATGGACGGAAAATAATGGACAGTCTTCGAGAAAAACGGCTCAAAAGCGTGTGAGAATATGAAAACTAAAATCTGTTAGAAATAAGCAATGTTTTATTATTCTCATTTTTTCAATCATCCTACCATTTCTTTACCAAATACTGTATTTGACATATACATAACGTATACATTAACTTTTATTCATCATATAATTGAACTAACCATTCCATAATCACATTCCTATTGTGTCACATACTTTTATCTACTTCATCCACAACTGAACTAATATTTCAACCGGTATCATGTTTTTTTGATCATGTTACCAGTTGTCTATTGGTTATTATGATGACATATTATTAGTAATGTGTGCACTCATGTAATGTATACATGGTAAATAAAAGATTTTTCTAAAATTTGTATCTTTTGCATGTTTTCCAAAATCAAAGTCATTGTTTCATATGCAGCAATATTTTCTATATACAACGAATGGCAAAATTAGATGGGGTGAATAATGAAGAAAAACACAGGAGATTGCTATTCAATAAAGGGAAGATTCAGGACTTCCAGATGTTCCCATTGACAACTTCACAAGACTGTGCCTGTATTGTAATAGGGCATTAATGGAAGAGATAACTGCTTTGAAAGACGTTTCTCAAGCTGAATATTTTGAAACAAACTTTGAGAGAATCGTGTGTGTAGTATGTAACGCTAGACTCAATCTAAATTGGTTAACTCTGAAGTGCCAAGTCAATGTTTTTGTTTTGAAAAATATTTATATCAGAGATTATGCTAGGTCTTGCATACATCACTTGGATGGAAATGGTTTTTTCCTGAGACAAATTCTTACTGGGATGCAGTTCAATTTTCGATCATGTAGAATCAAAATAAAAGGAATTTGGTGGCTTTCTTGCAAGAACTTAGGAATGTACAAAACATGCCATAATGGGATTAGCAGGATGAAATGATTTTCACAGATGAAGAATTCAAATTGATTATTCCAATGAATAAGGATCAGTTCTGCAATATCTCTACCTACTGCGATTGTATACCAGTAGAAGGTGGAGACAGATATATTTATAAAAAATATCTCCTAGCTTTTTTGTGCAAACTTAAACAAAGATTCTCCGACGAATTTTCGAAAGTTATTTTCAAATATCCTTCACGGCAATGCACAAGTATGGCAATTTCAAATATGAGAAGATCACTTGCACAAAGATTCGTCCCAGAAAAATATTGATTTAATCACTCAGGAACAATACATTCAAATCCATGTTAATCAGTTCACAAATGTATTATATAATCCAAATCCTGAACAGCGTAAAGCCACGGCATACATAAATGGGACCATAAGTTTTAAGTAACAGTCTTTGGAGTTCTCCAGGACGCCTTCTATTCGGTTAGTATCAAAAGACAGTATAAAGTTTCCAACAAAATAATGTATGAATTACCATCTTCAGTGTGTTGTCTTAACTTTGGTAATGCGACATTGGTACTATCTATAAGACATTCTTTAAGTAACTTCAAGTCTTCAACAAGAGGTACTATAGTAACCTCATTCCAATTCTTGAGAACTAAGTCACTGACAGCTTGACTAGAAACATCAAACTTCCAATTATCTTATATCAACTGAATCAAATAATTCTGGAAAGTTAGCAGACTGTATTGTTATGGTGAAAGTCTTACACTAAACTATATTGTTAGTTTCAATATGAATTTTGATCAAAAGTGTCAGCCAGTTCCATTTAATAGAATTTTTTTATATTCAACGAAAGTCATTTTTTGTGGAGGAAAAAAATCAGTTTTTTTTTTCAATCGACCTTTTTTGGGTATTTGTTACCTTCCACAATCTGAAAAATATAAAAATTATAATGGAGAACTTTATACAAGTGTAGAAGGGCAAACTTTTTAGTTTACCCCGATAAGTTACCGCATAAAAATCAAAGTATTTTTCACAAAGAAAAATCTTCTATTTATTAGCAACCTGTCGTATTTAACAATTTTGCCTATCAAAAAAATTGTTAAGAAATAATACTTATCCTTAACGTTTCGGAGGTCAAAATATGCCTTTGTCTTCAGAAATGGATAAAAAATTCAATTATATTCGCAGTTATTCCTTTATTGATAGTTTATTTCTTTACTTCTTCGACAGATGTCAAAGAAGTTTTGAAATATAAAATTATGTCAATGTTGTTGATTGACAACTGAAACATTCGATGTAATACAAGGTACTCTCCGATATCAGTCTATTGCCATTTCGCCAATATCCAAAGTTTTCTTCAAAAAAGGTCGATAAAAAACTAATTTTTTTATGTATTGTAAAATCATTGAAATACATTTTTCTGTTCAGCAGAAAATTAAAATTATGAACCAAACTAAGTGAGTGGTCACTCTATCGAAAAGTTATTTCCTCTTATATATTTCACTAGCAAAAACTCATTCACTCGAATCTTCAAGTTTTATTATTGTTATCATTATGTTCAGCTGACCCACTTTCCATACTTCCAACACATCGATGTCCTTATTATAATGTTTACTCTTATAGTTCGTCTATAACTATCTTACTTCTTTGGGGTGAGTGATTTTTTGAGTCCTCGAATTGTGTGTTTCAAGTACTCCAAATTATTATGAGGCTTATCAAAGAGATTACTCTGTAAATTCAGAACTTTGCATGTCTTTTTCTGATCCAAGTAACTTACTATCGAGTAACAGAAGAAAAATTGAATCAAATTAAACGAGCAAAGATAAATTTTGCCAACCTGACCCACTTTCCTTATTTTCAACATATTGATATCTTTATTATCATTATTACTATTATTATAGTTCCTCTATAACTACCTTACCACCTTAGGGTGATTGTTTTGTGTTTCTGATTGTCACAAGGATTATTTCCACAACGTTTCGGCAAAGTCTCCTTTGTCATCTTATGGTGATGTCTGGAGTTTAGAACTAGACTCTGGAATCTTCGAGTTAGAAATATAGTTCTCTGGTTTGGGTGGGAGTTAAAATTGTTTCCATTAGATTAATTTCATGTTAGAAGTTCCAGTTCTACTTGTCATCTTGAGTATAAAAAAATCTCATCCAGCATATGAAAAGAAAATGTGTTCAGTAGTATATTACAAATATATATTACATAACAACATTCAAAAATAAAACACCAAAGTTGTTGCTATCGAAAAAACTGCAGGCTAGAATAAATCGCGAAGCTACTGTAATTGAAAAACGTCCCAACTAAACGTCCCAACTGCCACAACAAACGAGATAATACACAAAGATTACCTCATTCATGGAGATCACTACTGTCATACCGTACATCTCATTGTACACCATACTTCTGCAAGTCACAACCCTATTCACACTACCAATCTCACCCTTGCTATTACTACCGGTCCGTCCTTTCACTCATCCAGCAACATAGCGACATGAATGCAAAACTAGAGCCTGTGAATTCAGTCGTCGTTTGGGAGTAGGCAGATTGAAACCCTTGCGGAGATCAGTGACGAGACCTGGGGAGTAGGTAGATTGAGACCTCAATGTAGTTATATTTTTGGAAAATGACTTAAAAATCGAAAAATTAAAAACTCTAGATGCGGTGGAGGGACAGACCGATAGTAATAGCAAGGGTGAGATGGGTAGTGTGAATGGGGCTGTGACTTGCATAAGTTTGGTGTGCAATGTTGTGAGATGTACGGTATGACAGAAGTGATGTTCATGAATGAAGGTAATCTTTATGAATCATCTCGTTTGTTGTGGAAGTGGGGACGTTTTTCAATTTCAGTAGCTTCGCGATTTATCCTGCCTATAAAGTTTTTTTGGTAGCAATAGTTTTGCTGTTTTATTGTATAATGTTATGTAAAATGTAATTGTAATATGGTACTGAATACATTTCCTTTTTATATGCTGGATAAGATCTTAAGATGACGGGTAGAACTGGAATCGCTGACGTGAAATGGATCTAATGGAAACACTTTCAACACCCACCCAAACTAGAGCACTATATTATATCTTTATAATGAGCATAACCAGGAAATGACTGATTTTCAATTTGGTTATTAAAACGTGAGTTTTGCAGAGCTCTAGCAGAGCTATGCAAAACTCTTGAAGACACTTGCAGAGCTCTAGAAAAATATTTGGTCTGAGACGGTTTCGATCTGAGGATTGAGTAGAGCTCACTGCAACTGTGACAATTCACCCCCATTTGAATAATTCACAGCTAATCATGGTGATGAACTGAAAGTTATCCATTACCAAGACTCCTAATCGTAAGACCATAAACAATTATTTTGGATTAAAGGCTGACTCACCATATGAGAAGTTGCATACATTATTTTTGCCGGATGAGATACCATTCCTCATTTCACTCAGAATGTCAGCATTCGAAAAATCACCATACATTTTGCTTTTGCAGTTGAGATAAACAGATAATCCCTCCAACTGTAGAATCTGCAAAAAGTTATGTGTATAATTAGACTAGTAATATAACACATTTTCTAAAAATCATAATAACAATACTATACACGTAAATAATTATTTTCAGTTGAAAAGATAAAATGTGGTAAATAATGAACAGAAAACAATAACCTAACAAATAACAGGCTGAACTTTGACGTCTATATATCGAACCCATGTGTAATATCTTCGATTTGAAAAATCATATCAAGTAACTTCTTGTAGTTAAAGAGGAGAAATGAATTCTGCTCGAACAGGATGAACACCGACAGACCGAATACAGACCTGCCAGGATGGTGTCTTAACAACTTAGTCTAGCGTACTCCATGATAGATATAGAAGTTCCTGGCACCGGATGCAGGGCCAGCCGCGAGGTTTCGAACTTATGAAAATACTAATTCCCCACTCTCAGGCAGACACCATCTAATACGCCTGATGAAGTCCCTTCGGATAATAAGAAATCCTCACAACAGATTCATTCTTCCTTAGAACAAAAGGCGAGACCAGTGTCCCATCAACATTGTTGGAGTGCTAAACGAGTGCCAGAAGTTTTTCATGATATCAGTAGTGATCTAACTTCATAGAATGTATGCCGTGATCTTCAATGTATCAACACAAATCGTGAAGTAAAAGCAATTGATTGTGAGAACGATCTCTTATGTAACCTTGTTACACATCTGGAAAAGCGAATCCGTTACCAAGAGACAATTGTGAATATATATTTGAATAATAATTTCAAAAAGTGTGAGGATATCTACTGTACCGTTATCTTACTCGTTCTTGATCTAGAGCAAGAAAGTGGTATATGTGCTCAGTTGGAATCACTAGATCTTGATTTGCGAAGGCAAGGGCACAGGTCGGTTCTTAATTTTTCATAGGAATTCAATTATAAGTGTTGAAAAGGGTTACCAAATTGAAAGCTCTCATTCGGACGTTATCTACAGAAGTTTCTAGTAATACTGTACCCCTTTTCAACACTTGTCACTGTAGTTACAACTTAATTACAGGAAACATTAGTGATATACGAAAAACTATTGTTGATTTGCGAAATGAGCTCTCGCCTCCTAAGAAATTATCTTATGCTTCAGTGACTTCAGAAAACAATCAGAAAATCAGAAAAAGTGCTATGAATACCAATATTCCCAGCATCACCATCAACCCCAAATTTAATCAGACTACAGAGGTAACTAATATGATAATGACATCTAAAATCAGTCCAAGGTCTGTAAAAGCCTCTATAAAAAACTGTAAAACCACGAAGAGTTAATTTGGGGGATGAATACGATGACTAAACAAAGAAATCCTTGTGTGACTATTATAGAATTAGCAAAAAGATATGAAAGTGATATAGAATTACTTGGAGAGCTCCAAGATCTCAACCATAATATCGATGAAAAAGATTACCTCAGTATCAAGTATACACGTCAGTCAAAATTTTCGAAAAAATGAAAGTATATGCTGAGACTACTGGAAAAACTTATTGAAAAAATTTGCCAAAAAATATCTAAACATTGGTTGGTGATAGTGTAAAATAGTGGAAAACTTGAATATATTGTTCCTTTGGGCACAAAACAAAGGATTGCAAAAATCACTCCAGTGATGATAAGATTTGTCCAATATATTCTAAGAAAATTGAAATCTCCAGGAAACACCAAATATGAAGACGATTGATGGAAGGTAAAGAAAATTTAAATAATAAAATTATTTTTCACAGAAACTGGGATTCAAATATTATGTGTGATTGATGACCTGTTTATTTTATGATAATTCATAATCACTTTAATGAAATGAATAAAAACACTTTTGTCTAATTAGAGTTTTATACTTGATAATGGGGTCAAAACCTAAACCGGTTGTATAAATAAAATCTACCAGTGGTAATTAAACAAAAGTGTTTTTATTCATTTCATTAAAGTGATTCAAATATTCATAGTCCATATGGTTTGAATATTTTGCATTTATGTATTCGTAGGTAGTATGAACAAAAATTTTGATGATTTTTTAATATTTTTAGAAAAACATCGTGACACATCGTGTAATTGTATATACTAAACACACTCTGTATTCTAATATCAGGTCATTTGAAGTCTTTTTCNGTTAGACGGAAGCAAGAAACTCTTTCGAAGGTTCGAAATAGATGAACATTTCAATCTAGCAGACCACTATTATAATATTCATGCAGTCATTGTTCACTGTGGTTCTGGCGTTGAATTTGGTCATTATTATTCCTTGGTCAAAGACGAAACGGGCTGGTTTAAGTTTGACGATAGTCGTGTGATGCTGCAGGTTTTTCCGGGTTTTCCTGCAGTTGAAAAAGCAAATGCACCACTGGAATCAATGAAGTCGCCCCGAAGCGCCAATTCATTTTTATTGTTGTTTTTATTTTTATCGTTGTTTTGATAGTTTGATTATTTCGATTATTCAAAGAGATACATTGAAAAAGATTTAAAAAACATGAAAATGATGAAAAACTGTTGAATAGCTTCAGATTTTATCGTAATTACTTGAATAAACTAATAAAAAAGGCAAAAGAACAGTATTATAAGAATGAACTGAAAGAGATCGAGGGAGATATAAAAAAGCTATGGAGAGTAGTCAATGAAGCAACTGAAATATATGATAATTGCCATACTCTCACAAAAGATCCTAATTATTTTTGTGATATTGGATTCGAATTATCTAATAATATTGAAAAAGTTGATAGATATTTGAATTTAGATTTCAAATCAAATAACAAAAGTTTATGTTGGTCGACTATCGCAGACACTGAAGTGATTGAAATTATAAATGATTTAAAAAATGAATCTGCTCCGGGCCCTGATGAATTAAATAGCACTTTACTTAAATCTGTTGAGTATTTCATATTTTTAATCAATATTCGAAATCTGGTTTTTTCCATCAATTCTCAAAATTTGTAATGTCATACCAGTGTACAAGAATGGAGATAAAAAATCTATTGATAAATATAGACCATATATTATCATTGACAAGTAATATTAGTAAAGTGTTCGAAAAATGTATAAAAAAAGAGTAGTTACCTTTCTTGCAAATGAAAAAATTTTGTCAACTGAACAATTTGGTTTTAGGGAAGGAATGTCAACAGAAGATGCAATTTTCAGTGTAACTCGAAATATATATAATAGTCTGAATACTAACAAAAAAGTGATTGGAATATTTTTAGATATGAAGAAACTCACTCACCCTAAACTCCCGGATCTGCCCTTTATTTCAGCTTCATATCTTGATGTTTTGCAGTCCTATTGTTTCACAAAGTATATTGATACATCGACAAGAGTGGGTAATGATTCAGAAAGTTACTTAGATCATATTTTTATTAAACTTAATAAAAAATATACCGATGAGTTAATGGAATTTAATGTATATGAATCCTACATCACTGACCACTTTCCTGTAACTTGTTGCTTACATTTAGATACAGTTAAAAATTCGGACGACAATCAAATGAAAACTAAAGAAATTGATCAAAAAATTGAATGATTTAGCCGTTACTACGTGGTAGGAAATCATAATGAAAAAAAGAGAATTGAAACTTTCTATGTTTTTCACCACATTTATTTGTAACTAACGTTACTACAGTTTCGTCCTATAAGGACATTTTCAAACTTATACATTAAACTAACAATGGTTCATTACATTAGCCTTTATACAGCACCCCTGTAGATAATAATTACACAGATAGGTCATAATAATGGTTTCAACGCAGATACTATCCAGAAGTTAATCAGAAAACAAAGCCGGAAATTCACTTACAGATTAATGTACCCTCAGGTCAAACAACCAGAAATCAAGAAATGGGTAACTCTAACATATTTTGGAAAAGAACAGAGATAATTGCGGTTTTCTTCAGAAAAAACAATGTGGAAGTGGCATTCAGGCCACATGCCAGGCTATCTGATTTCCTTTTCAATGCCAAAGATAAGGTAGACAAGTTGGAGAAATTATAAGCTTAAGTGTCCGGAATGTAATAGTGTTTATGTGGGGCAATGTGGTCGAAATTTCCAAAAACGGTATGCTGAACATGAAAGGTCCTTCAGACTAGGAAAAAATAATTTGACATTCTCAAACCATTCCTTGGCATGCAGCTACAAGTTGCCGAATCTAAACGATACAGAAATTTTGCACTATGCAAGGAAGGGTTACATCCTTGGAAATTCACAAGCATGAACATTGCGGGTGCAACCTGTTAAATGATCAAATCGATTTAGTTTACTGACCGGTTTTCAAATTAGCACATCCGCATTGTAAATTGTAAATTCAGGTACTCAATCAAGCCAAGTACCTCTATTATTACCTACAGGGGTAATATATAGAGGCTAAAGTAATTAACCATTGTTAGTCCTTATAGGACTTTCAAACGTGTTATGAATAACATGTTAAAAGGTAAGACCTCGTTAGTCCTTAGCTCGCACAAGTTTCTCAACTACTGAGAGTTGTCGTTCGTATGGGGGCGACAGCTGATTAACGGAAAAAACAGATTTTAAACAGAACAGATTTTTTAAATAGCTGCAATAACGTTACTTACAAATAAAAGTGGTAAAAAACATAGAAAGTTTCAATTCTCTTTATTTCACTAAAAAAATTTATTTTGAAAAACTGATTTGCCTGTTAGAAAATAAGAACTGGGAGAAAGTCGTCAATGAAAATGATCCTGAAGTATCTTACAATAATTTTTCTAATATTTTTGAAGAATATTTGGAACAGTCCTGCCAAAATTTGTTAATAAAAAAAATAGGAAAATCAATCCTTGGATTACCAATAGTTTGAATCAGTAGAGAGTTGTCCTGAAAATCTAGAGAAGAAAATTGGATTGGATAATTTAGGAAACACTTGTTACATACATAAATAGCATTTTACAAGTGTTGTTCATGACGAAGAATTTCAAGAACGAGGTTTAACATAAATAGAATAATACATTAATCATATAATCAATTATTTGAATAATTATTTCATTATTTCGTATAACCATTATTTTA